GGGAAAAAAAAAAGGGCGGGGGGGGGGGGAAAGAGGAAACGAAAGGGAAAAAAAGACGAAGTCCAATCCATAATCCAAATTGTGTTCTGGAGTGGGCTGGGGGAAAGCAGCACACACAATGCTGGGGGAAAGCATACTCCAAATAGAGCAAATGCTGAAAGTATGATGAAAAAAAAGTACGCTGAAAGAGTGCTTTCCCATCATCTGTAGGCACACCCATGAATTGTTGAAATGCATACCTGTGAGTTATAATCCTGATGGACCCCGATGAACGGAATGGGATGATTCTGAATTACTGTGTATGTCCACCCATGAGCTGTGGAAACGCGGACCTGATTTCGAATCCCAATGGACGTGGATGAATGGAAGGCAATGATTCCGAATTACCTGGGAGCCTGGGACCCATCACGTCGATGATGATAGCTCAAGGCGGTCACCCTTTGGACAAAAAACTAAGAGTGCAGATTCTGCAGAAAGAATGCTGGAACGGTTTCTGCGATGATGATATCACAAGGCTGTCAATCTTCCCAAAAAAAAAAACAGAAGAAGGCCGAAAAAATGCGGAAAGAATAGTGAGCTAAAGAATGCTGAAAGAATGCTGAAGGAATGCTGAAAGTATGCTGAAAGAATGAGGAAAGAATGCGGAAAGAATGCGGAAAGTAAGCCGCGAAAAAAGAATGCTGAAAGCATAGGGGAAAGAACGCCGAAAGTATGCCGAAAGAACGCCGAAAGAACACCGAAAGTATGCCGAAAAAATGCTGAAAGTGTCCTTTGACAAGTGGTGAAAGAACACTGAAAGCCACCAAGAACAGACCTGCTGTGGCTTTAAACGACCAGTACTAAGCCCAGCTATCAGCCGCGGAAAAAAATAGAGTAGGAACGCTTCTAGTTGGATGAATTGGGGTGCTCCTGTAGTGTCCCGTATGTTTCCTAAATCGTGGCGCGTTAACGGGCACGACTTCAGGAAGTACCGGTGGTTCAAGCATGCCGTTGCCTGGACTGTGCAGGTGAGAGCTGCTTTGGGGGCTGCAGGCCAACGCAGTAGTGGCCTTGAGGAAACCACCAATGTTGCGCTAAGAGACCTGCTGTGCCTGCAAGCGTGCTTTGGCCCGGGCTGTGCAGAAGCTCTGCCTGCAAGCATGCTTTGGCGTGGACTGGACTGTGCAAGGGGTTTGCCAACTTCGCCTTTGTCTAGGCGAGAGTTCACTTTATGGCCCCGTTACACGTCAACGTGTCCGCTTCTGATGATTTTTTCATGGTGTCGTTTCACAGACACAGACGTTTCCGCTTGGGATGATTCGTTCATGGTGTGGTTTCACAGAGTCTCACAACCTGTGTCGGTTGCCGAGAGGCCTTACCCACAGTCGGCAGTTCTCACTCACTGTTTGGAAGTTTGGATTGCCGATGGCTTTCTGCGCCCATGTACCCATCCGTGGTTTTTTGGCACCTAACCCCTGCCTCTTGGCCCCTCTTTTACCGGTTGTAACTATGACACACACTTGTGAGGGTAGTTTTTCACTTGCAACATTTACGCCATACCAAGGTCCAATTTTTGTGCCATTGCCTCCTTTGTGGCCTCCCCCCCCGCCCTTTTGTGCATTAGAAAGCCTTTGTCTGTTCCCTGCGGTTTACGACCCCGGTAGTTCTATGGCTCCTTTTTCTTTCGTGTGAGTTGGGCTGTATAGTACATGCACATGCATGTAGTCGTTTATGAACGAGGAACGAATGTAAACATAGGAAATGAAACTCTTCAGTTGGAATTCTGCCAGTCTCATTTGCTTACCCAGTTTATGAGCTGGTTAATGAGCTTTCTGTTAAAGCATCTCTGAGGTAATGACGTTGGTTTTCACATTCAGCTTCCCGCTCACACCCTCCTTTCCCAACTCTCCTTGTTCCCCCCGCCCCCCTTTTGAAAATTGAAATTCCTTTTGTCTCTCTTTGGCCGTGCATGTGTTGCGTTGTTTTGTTTTGTTTTGTTTTGTTTTGTTGTCATTGTGTTTCGTTCTGTTTCATTCCGTTTCGTCTCATCTCGTCTCGTCTCGTCTCGTCTCGTCTCATTTTGTTTTGTTTTTTTGACAGGTTTGCGATGCAGTTGTTGTGGCACGTTTGCTAAATGCCACTCTCCTGCTTCCTCAGTTCGACAACGAGTCCTGGTGGGGGGACCAGAGGTACTTTCTGCTGCCAATTATGTGGGACCTTCTCATTCATGCCTTTTGTTCGCTCCATTAGCATTGTCCTTTTTTTTTTTTTTTTTTTTTTGCAAACAAAACCAGCCCCTCTGCTCTGGGGGGTGTCGGTCCCGCTGCTTATCACCGGCCAGCATGAAACAGGTTTTTGAGAAAGCCATTAGCATTTTCAATCTTCAAAGGTTCAACTGCTGGAGAAAATACCATGCTCAAGAAGATATACATCCTCCCATCAGAAGCACAAATAGAGTAAGCCTCAGTAAGGGCATATAATACTGGCACAAATAGAGTAAGGGCATATAATACTCCCATTAGCATCATGTTCGCGTTCGGTCGGCGAACACGAATAACCGCCCAAAACCCTCCGAATGCGAACCTAGGCTACCAGAGTGGCACGGGTTAACTTGCCCGGCCGGGCCAAAAAGAAATAAAAGAATAAGAATTTGTTTTTTTGTTTTTTTTGTTTTTTTTTGGTAAAGGACCCGGGTGGCCCGGCTGGTAGCCTAGATGCGAACGTAAAAAAAATATTAATATTTATTTAAAAAATCGCAGAAAAATCTGGAAAAAGTATATGTCATGTAAAACAACAATACGAGCAACTTTTGACTTGGACTCATGTTCAAATTCTTAGCCCAACGTGAATTAAAAAATGGAAGCCGATTTTTTTTTTGTTTTTTCTTTTTTTTTTATGAAAACAAAATTATGTTCGTCCGAACACGTTCGTGAGCCGTTCGCACGAAAACGGAGGGGCACGGACATGTCCGCCGTTCTACACAGACTCCGACTATCGTCTTCAGCCGAATAGAACACCCTGTGATTATCGGTGTATCTAGATCGAAAGTTGCCCTAATTACAGCTGTAATGCCCCGGCGTGCTATTCAGGTTAAGACGGCAAGACTTTTGAAAAACGTAGCTCGGTTTGTAATTCCGATAAGATACATCCAGGTCTGGCCGTATTTGCGGTCAGATTTGTACCGGGAAGTCCTTGTGTGAGTATGCCCTCAGCGGTATCTTCTTGAGCGCAGCTTCATCTTTGGCAGTTGAACCTTGTAATGCTCATGCGCGGTGGTGCTGCCGTGTGGGGCCTCGATTCGTAGTAGTGTGTTCAACAATGATTATTTCTGCCATTGTTAACCTTGTTTTCCCGGGCGGCCCGGCAGTGCAAGGACCAAGGAAGGTCCCAGCACGAAAACAAAAAAAAGTTAAAAAAAACAAAAAAGTTGAAAAAACAAACAAACCCAAAAAAAAAAAAAAAAAAAAAAAAACGAACTATGTTATGCAGAAAAATAAACTGAACAAGTTTTGCCTCAGGGTCACATCGAAATTGTTTACCAAATTTAAAATAAAAAATAAACTTTTAAATTTTAAAAAATTAAAAATCATTTTTATTTTATTTTTTCATTTTTTTTTGGCCCGGCCGGGCAAGTGGTCCCGGGACACTCTGGTAGCCTAATTTATTCACACTAATATACAGTAGCATACACTAAATTGTATTGGTTGTGTTCCACACTCCCGAATCATTTGTCAATATTTGTTGTGTTTTTTTTGGGTGTGATAAAAAGTATTCTATGTGGGAAACACAACCTAGTAAAACCAGGAGTCCGCATTCGGATTTCTAGCATTTTTCTACGTAGCAAACTGCGCAGAGATTCCTTTTCTTGTGTCTTTAAACATAGCAGAATTTCAACGGCTTCTAGGAGCCCGTTTACGGCCACAGACTAGGGAGATATCCCGGGCGCCCGGGTCCCGATGTCACGCCCGGATTGGCGACTGGGTGACCTGCCGGGCATGACCCCTGGCCATGGCACCGGGCAGCCTCAGCGCAAAAAAAAAAAAAAAAAAATCAAATCCAAAAAAATCTGAAAAAAAATTATTGTTGTGTAGAAATGCAATACAAACAACTTTTGGCTGAGGGTCACATCAGAATTCCTCACAGAACTAAAGATAAAAAAGAAATAACCATATCACACTAAGGCACCCCCCTTTAAACCCCTTTAGCCCCTTCAAAATTCATTTACACTCCCCTTTCCCCCCCTTGACAGCCAACACTAAAGAAACGAAAAGAGCTCGGGTTTGGGCTCCTCTCGGAGAGCGCGGAAAAACCCCACCGCCATTTTCTTTTTTTTTTGCCATGACCGACCGGCCGGTCATGAAAATCTTCCTAGGCCACAGATGGTATTTTACTATTTTTCCATGCACTTCTTTTCAGAGCGTGAATTTGCTGCTGAGTAGCGCGGACATCGTTTTTCCAAACAGGGAATTTTATTATACAAGCCGGGAACGGGGCCCATCGTCCCTTAACCGTGTTGTTGTGCGCCCCGACGGGACTGCATCACGGACCAAACCCAGAGGGGGAAGCAGACACCATTTTTCGTTGTTGCTTATGTTGATGAATAGCCTGATTGAAAGAAAAAAAACACAAAAAGAAGAAGAATGGCCTGATCAAAGATGATTTGTTGTTTGGTGCTGATGATTGTTTGGTTGGGTTGCGCTCCGACTTGTGTTATATTCAGCAAGTTTGAAGACGTGTTTGATGTGAACAAATTCATCACCACTTTGGCGCCCGATGTCCGAGTGCTACCAGAGCTGCCCAAGTCGTTGAAGGACATGCCGCACTTCACAAAGACTGTGCCTCGCCATTCCACATTGAAGTTCTACCTAATGGAAATGCTGCCTCTGTTGAAGTAAGTTTTCCTTTGGCCAGTTGCTATGGTAGTTTTCACTTCCCTACACTAGAAATCGCTAACGTGAGAATTGGCCGATCCGGGCCACCCGCGGTCCTACCGGCCCGATGGTCCGGATTTTCCCACGATCTTAAGACTTTAAGACTTTAAGATCGCGCAAAAATCCGGACCATCGGGCCTGCCAAACGGCCTGGATCATCACGCGATCTTAAAGTCTTAAGATCACAGGGCGATCCTATCCATCGGCCCGGGAGGACCACAAGCGGCCCGGATCGTCGCGCCCGTTGAAAAGCAGGTGCGACGATCAGCCCTATCTTTGGCTGCACAGCGACGTGGTGTATAGGGCCGCAGCAGATGCTCTATCTTTGGTGGCACAGCGATGTGGTGTATAGGGCCGCAGCAGATGCTCTATCTTTGGTGGCACAGCGACGTGGTGTATAGGGAACTTGACAACACACACTCATGGCCCCGTCCGTCCGCACAAGCATGCGCACAAACACTAATGCACATGCATGCACACACCCACTAAAAGGGCCTTTACCCGATATAGGCCTCAGGCCTTGTAAAAATAGAGCAGCACGGGCCTTGTAAAAGTAAAGCATTGTGAAAAGGTATCTTGCCAGGGCTCAGAAACGTGAAAACAGGTCAAAAGTCAAGTTCTCTATCAACAGGCACATCTAAATCTAAGGCAAAGGGCATTGTCAAAAGACTTACCTGTTCACCAGGAGATGTGTATGTCATGTCTG